AATAAGGAACATTATTAAAGATTCTTTTATCCTGAGATCATGCAGTCAACACTAAAGATTGGCCAGTCCACACCTGGGCATTCATTGTTCTCTTCTTTCCTAGAAGTCGAAATTGTTGATCATCTGCAGTGATACTTGCATACCCAGAGATTTCTAAAGACAACTAAATATGGAACCATGTGTGAACATAATGTCTTTGAAAATATTGTTCATCTGGACCAATATCATTTTCCTTTAAGGCAAAATCATGGAAAAACTCTGCCATCAAATTTAAATTCAGTCAGTTAAAACAAACTGTGAAATAAAGAACCCCATGTGCATGGTGGAGATGGGAAATCCTTTCTCCTTACAAAATATGAGCAAATTCATACTAAAATGCCTGAAATTGGAAAACCCATCAGCACTAAGGCTCCCATTTATTAAGCATCAGAGAACTCACAAAATCGAGAAATGCACATATACAGTGAATGTGGGGCATCTCTCATCAGGCAGTCTCAGCTCACTGTAGATGAGAGAATTCACTGGGGCGAGAAACTCCATGGCTGTAGTACATATGGGAAGGCACATACCACAAAGTCTAGACTCACTGAGTACCAGAAAATTCATACACGAGAGAAACCTTATATAGGTGAATGTGGCAAAGCCTGTTATAGGAAGTCAGTCATTATACATGAGAGAAAAGAAAGAGGAGAAAACCCCCGTTGATGCACTAAATGTGGCAAAGCCTTTCTCATTAAATGACGTCTTATTTTACATCAGAAAACTCATACCTGAGAGAAACACTATATGTGTAATGATTGTGGAAAGGGCTTCACGCAGATTAGTTTCACTGTACATTGGTGAACTCATACTGGTGAGAAACCTTATATATGCAGTGAATGTGGACAAGGTTTCATCCAAAAGATAAGTCCCATATGACATCAGGGAGTTCATACAAACAAGACTTCCTTTCTATGTAGTGACTGTGAAAAATCCTGTCCTCAGAAGTCAGGTTTCATTAAACATCAGAAAATGCACACAGGAGAGAAACCTCATAAATGTAGTGAATGTGGGAGAACCTTCATCATGAAACAACAGCTTGTTGTCCATTAAAGAACTCATATAGGAAAGAGATCCTATGAATACACTGGGTGTGGGAAAGCTTTTTCCTACAAGTCTTGCCTTATTAAACATAAGAAACGTACACAAAGGAGAAATATGTAGATTCATAAACGTGGAAAACCCTTCCACAGAGAGTTACAGCTTCTTACGTATAAGTGAAACAGTGTTAATTTGGTCACTGCAAATGCCTTCTGTCACCCCTCAGACATCATTAAGTTATCAGTGGGGTCTTAGCAAATAGGAACATAGTCCTTTCAGGAACAAACTCGTGCTAGATGTGCACCCTCAAGATAGCAGAAAATTTGCACAGGGGAATAAAAACCTTATAATGCAGTGAGTGTGATGGTGCCTTCACTGGTCAATTAGGTTACATTTTATGTCTCAAAAAAACCTATGGGAAGGAAACTTAGATGTATTTGAGGTAGAAAAACAGTGAACAAAAAATTCCAGGTCATTATATAGCTAAGTATATTTTGAGAGAAATACGAATGCAGAGACTGGGAAAGCATGACAAATTTCATCCTGTATATATATTTATGTGTTGATACAGAGACATAGTCTGATGTTATTAATCCCAACTTCCATCTACCTTGATTGCTCACTTTTGTCAACTAATCTGGAATGTCTGAGATCATAAGTGAAGCAAAACACTACTGTGATGACAAATAAGATAACTGGTATCTGGATGTTGCTAGGACTGAAAATCTTTGTAATATAGAGTTGCTTGGTAGGAAAAAGCAGTATTTAACTAGTGGTGTTTGGGGCACATGTATCTGTTCAGTTCCCCTAGGACAGTGTGGAGGATTAATTGAAAAGTGGTACCCCTTTCACAGGTTTTCAGGACCTTGTATTATGCAAAGTCACCTGAGAAACAGCCTTACACTGAATCTCTGTTCATTCAGTGAATATTTGTGAAATACCCCCTTTGCATCTGGTATTGTTCTATCAGCTAAGGACACAGGGGTGAACAAAACAGAATGTCTTTGCCCTCGGAATGAGTGTTAAGTTAGCTGAATTATTTGTAAGTGGTATCTTCATACTCCATCTGACATACTCGGGGTATGTAAACTCTATATTAGGTGAAATGGACATGGACTAACTGGATCATGGGGTTTGGATTTAGAATGATGTGGAGTTAGATCCTAAAAACATCTTTCCCCAAGGAGGGTATAATGGGAGACAGGGAAACACTCCTATTAATAATGTATAAATAATTGACTGATGAATGGATAAAGAAGATGTGATACACACACACTGGCATATTATGCAACCATAAAAAAGAATGAAATCTTGCCATCTGGAGCTAGTGTATTATGCTGCTAAGCAAAATAACTCAGAGAAGGATAACTACCATATGATTTCACTTGTGAATTTAGGAAACAAAACATGGATTGGGGGCAGAGAGGCAAACTGACTCTTAACTAAAGAGAACAAACTGATGGTTACTGGAGGGGAGGTGGGGGGGGCCCTCGGTGGGTTTATAAATAGATGATAGGTATTAAGGAATGCATTTGTTATGATGAGCACTGGGTGTTGTATGTAAGTGATGAATCACTAAATTCGACATCTGAAACTAATATACTGTATGTTAACTGGAATTTAAATAAAAACTTGGAAAGAAAAAAGATGTATAAATAATCCAGGATACAAATACTTTTTAAAAAATGCCCATGTCTTACCACCCCACGATGATTATACATTCCTTGATAGTTTTGCACTAACTTCAGTAGCCATTAGCTACAAAATGTAAATTAATTCAAATTAAATTAAAAATGTATTTCATCAGTATCAAGGGTTCACATTTCAAAAGTTCAATATTTTTTTGTGGCTAGTGACTACCATTTTGGACAGTACGGATTAGAACATTTCATTGTCACGGAACAGTCTATTGCATGGTGCTGCTTTATAGGGTCACATATCCTTTGTGATATAGAAAAATATATATATTGACTTGGAAGATGAAGGTGAATGGACTCTAAAGAAAAAGTTCTATCATTGCAAAGAATGAGCAATTGTAAGGCAGTTCTAAGAGAATGGAATTGTTCAAAAAATGTTTTGTGTACATGTGCATTAGAATAAATGTCTGCCTATAAAAGGAGGAGAGCAGAAGAGCAATGGGATGCCCCAGATAAGTCACATAACAGGCATGAGAACCTTGGTCTAAGATGGAAGAAAGCTGGAATATGAAAGGAGGTAAGATCCCTCTTGGGTGTACTGGAGAGGAACCCTTACCTTGTTCACAACCCTATCACCTCTGAAAGTTGCCATAATTTCATAGTTCCCATTTCCTCTGTGACCTGCTTAATTGCACATGTGATCTTCCTTTTCTAGTCCTCTTTCTTCTTAGGACTGTGGCTCTTGTCCTCTCTCCTCTACCCAGAGTCTTTCTCTTTGATCCAATAAAGGTATCTTGCTAAAAAACCTTGAATCCTGATTAGAGAAGAAGAAATGGATATTTACTATGCAGTAGCTGTCTTACCTTTCCACCACAAACCTCTGGATTATCAGGGAAATTCAATCCAACATATATTTCTAAGCACCTAAATTTGGTTGTCTCAACACTTGAGATTTGATTCTGTAATGCAGTCATGAGATAATTCAGAACAGGAAAATTTTCATGATTGATTTGTATTTTGTATTTGGTGTGTATAGGATCACCTTGCCTGCCTTATGAAAACGAGATAGTAGAGACTTAGTATCAGGCAGGAGGCTGGGCCAGCATAGTAATTATGAAGAACTGACTTCGTCCTTTGACCTGTGGTTACATGACTATCAGGTGCATTCTGAAAATGATGATGGCCTACGGGGTTGAACATAGTGGGGGCAAACAGGTTTAACCTGGCATCTGTGCCACAGCCTGTGTTCTCGAGATCTTTAAGCTCAGTACTGGGGTTGGGGGAGTGGGGAGAATATGAGCTGGAGCAGGGCTAGAAATGGGTAGTAGGCCTGCAAATGGCTGGCAGAGACGGCTTGGTGATGCAGACGCACCGGGCTGGTCAATCAGTTCTTTGTGGTCATTTTATTTTCTACATGGGAGTATTCTTAAGATTTCCAGTTGCAATATCCAAAACACTGGAAACAGCCGAAAGGCAATTATGCTGTGTGAAAGAAGCCAGAAAGAGTACACACACGACTCATTTCATGAATACGTCTTTAGTGACGAGCGGCTGACCAGGACGGGTAAGTGGCATGGTTGGGATGAGGCTGGCAACAGGCTCAACGTCCGTGGCTTCAGCTTTCTTTGCGACCCTCGAACACCCCTCACCACCTCTTTTCCAAACCGTGCTCTCCCGAAGGAAGCACCCTTGCCCAGCTCCCGGGCAGCTCCGGCTCCGCCGCCCGGACACCGAACTCCGTCCGGGCCAACGCGCACCTGCCCCGGGCGCAACCCTCCCCGGCCACAGCGCGCCGCCTGCTTCCTTGTCAAGCCTGCGTAAATTTTGACACGGCTTCTGAGCCTTTTCTCAGTGAGAATCGAGACTGCGGAGCCCGGAGGTTATTTTATTTCCCGCCGAGCCGAGACGTCACGGCCGTTAAGAGCCGCGGCCCTTAGATGGGAAAGGGCTCCGGCCTTTGAAAACCTGGCGCCGTTCCCCGCCCCCCTACAACGAGGAGCCCTGCCCCTTCAAAGACGACCCCCATGTCATGTCTGCCTTGCGTGAACTCGAGCCTCTGAACATCTCTCCATTTTCCCGCAAGAGCTGAGGGGCCAGGAAGCGCGAGGCTTTCGGCGGCATTCACCGTCCTGTCACGGCCCAAACGCAGCCGCCGTGCCTTCAGTACGTCAGGTGTGCAAAGATGGCGGCCTCCAGGGCGTCGGGGCGATGGCCGCGCGGACCTATGACCTCATAAGGAAGCGCCGGAAACCCGTATTCCGTTCTCCATAGAAACGCGCCAGAAAAGCCGCGGACCCTCGTCAGGTGTTCCCGGGAGAAGAGTCGGGGCGAGGGGACTAGAGCGAAGGAAGTTTAGGGAAGTAAGTTGGGCCCTGAAGAGGTCGCTGCAGGCTCAGGAGAGACTCAATTCCGCGTGTGGGTCAGTCTGTAGAGAAGGGTTGGGGAGGAGAGGGGCGGCCTAACGGTCTCTGGGTCAGTTGTTGGTCCCTTGAGTCTGTGAAGGTAGCGCAGGGGCGGGTGTGTTTTTTGGAGGTGAGCACGGAGGAGTCTGTACTGTATGTAATCGAGATGTCTTTGGGGTCAGTCCCGGGGGGTTCTGGTGGTCCGTGATTGCAGGTCTGAACAGATGAACCTCCGAGAGTCCTGAAGTCAGGGATTAGAGTCTTCGCGGGTCACTCTCCTTGTAGGTGATTGACAACTGGCGGGGTGGGGTTTGTTAATGAAGGTGGCGTTTGGCGCGGGTTCTGGAATAATTTGGGAGCTCAGTGATCGAGGAACTATTAAGGGAGGTCAGCGTACGTGTGTCGCTGGTCCGGGTTTGGTATTGCCTGTCTTTTGTGCGGGGTTGCGTGACAACAGGCTTGGAGGTTCAGGAACACTGGCTGGTTTGTGCGTTGGGCTCAGACTCGCTCCTGGAACAGAGTTGTTGAATGTTAACATTCCTCAAAAGCTTCAGGCCCAAATCCCTCCTCCATATAATTTTCTAATTTCTTTTGGCCCCCCCACCTCATCCCATCCCTTTGAACCTGCAGAAATGAAAGTTTTGAGGGAGAGGAACGGTTCAGATTTAAAATTAGTCTTTTATTTAAAATTCTGTGTTTATCCTTCTGTAATTTTTGTGTATTCTTTTGGATATTTCCTTTCAGGTTACATATGTATGTAAAGGCTGCTATTTTCCCAGTACTTATCATTTTTGAGGTGTTTTAAATTTAAGAAAAAAAATTTTTGAGGTGTTTTTAAGAATTTGTATCTATCGCTCATATTCCTTCCCTTTATTTCGGTGTGCTCATTGTTCCTCCTATTGAAATGTAGGTAGATAGGGTGCGTAAAGATTTTTAAAGAGATAGAGCAAGACAGTTTAAAGGAAAAATTCACTATTGCTCACTGTCCATATGGCCTCATTTCTAAAATTGATCTGAAAATTACCTGCCACTGAGGCATAGTTCTGTTCTGATTCTCTTTTGCCACTTTCCCCTTGCTTGTTATTGCTACACATTCAGAGTCTTATGCCTAAGGCATGATTTCTGGGGAACCGAATAAAGAGACAGAAATACTGGGACTTTGTGTTAAGATGAGTGCATAGCAAGTGTTACATTCACTGAAAGTAATTTTGTTCTTTGGCCCACAGGTCCTGACAAGAGACAAGAAATGAAGAAAAAGGAGGTCCCAGGACCTAGATAGTGTCATATCTGGGCCACTTTTGACTGGTGACTAGATTTCTCACTAGAAATTTAGAGCATATCCAGAAGAGACAAAGACAGAATATCCCAGTTGCTGGCCATTTCTCAGAACAGAGGAAAATGATCAATGCCCAGGTGATTTTTGTCTTGTTTTATTCTTTCCTTTGTTCCCTAATGGATGTGTAGAGGCTTGTAAAAATCAGTTCAGTATCTAGAGAGAAAGAAAGTTTGAATCTAACTCCAACATCGTCACAAAGTGGAATCAAGAATATAGGGTTCAGGGGCACCTGGGTGGCTCTGTCGGTTAAATGTCCGGCTCTTGATTGCAGCTCAGGTCTTGATCTGAGGGTCATGAGTTCAAGCCCTGCATTGGGCTCCACGCGTGGAGCCTACTTAAAAAAAAAAAAGAATGTAGTGTTCATATGATTCCTATTAAATGACTAATGTTGGAATATCGTATGTAACTGAAGGATCCTCTGGCTTACATTAGCTGTCACACTGCCTCTAATATGTGTGACAACCAACATAAGAGAATCATGTTATGTGATATGCAGTGACCATGAGGAGAAAGCAGAAAGATTCCTTTGGCACTGAGGACTCAAGAAAAATTTTATATTCTTCTCAGAGGTGATGGGGTGGACAGTGTTGTGAGCAGTAGCCTTCTAATAAAAGCTGCAGCAGACTTCCTACTGCTGTTTATTACAGAGTTCCTCAGAGTCTCCTGTGGGAATGGACCAAGCAAACTCAGTGAACACAGTTTTTGCAGGAGAGGCTTCACAAACAAGTGGCTGAACTGGCATTGAATTACAGATTTGGCATTAGATAGTTGCAAGAAATTTTGTCTGGTAAGAGCTTGAGTTATAAGGTTCCAGAGTGTTTGCTGTATAACTTCATGTTATCTCAGAAAATGCAGAATCCCTTCTATTTTAAGGTCTAATTTTTACCTACTCTTCCTTTATTGCTTTTGGTTCCTGTAATTATACAAATGACTCATGAGTACCTTTTTTAAAAAAAGATTTACTTATTTACTTACTTATTTTAGAGAAGGAAAAAACACGAGTTGGGGGAGGGCAGAGGGAGAGGGAGAATCCCAAGCAGATAGCCTCTGAGCCTGGAGCCAATACAGGGTTCGATCCCACCACCCTGAGATCACGGCCTGAGCCAAAATCAAGAGTTGGACGCCCAAGCAACTGAGCCACCCAGGAGCCCCTCATGAATACCTTTTTTTTTTTTTTTTCTCATGAGTACCTTTTAAAGGAAAAAAAATCCTCATGATGGTGTACACATGGGCAAAAAAGTAAATTCCCTCTTCATGTCCCCTTTCCTCATTCCCTCGTACTACTTTAGCAGATGCTTGGTGTCTTCTTGCCGTCAGTGAACCTGTGTGTGCATCTGTATACATGTGCCCATTTACAAATGTATTTGGACTTATGTATATTTGTGTTTGTAAACACACCTATCATGACATTTTGTGTATCAATGGAATCATACTCCAAAGGACATAATCTGTTGGCTTAAGATGGCATAATTCAAGCATCTAGAGGAATAATAACTGCAAATGATTGGTGACTATTAACTCTACAAAATTCCATTTGTCTGTAATCGTACTCCACAAAATGAGTTAAACTATGTAAAGCATTTAGTGAGTGCCTCCTAAGTGATATGTGGATCACCCATGCCTGAAATCTTTGCCAGTGCTAATAATAGGACATTATCAGATTGCTAAATTTTCTTTCTTTTTTAGAAAAAAGATTTTATTTACTTATTTGAGAAAGAGAGAGGGAGCGTGAGAGGGAGAAGTGGACTCCCTGCCGAGCAGAGAGCCCAATATGGAGCTTGATCCCAGGACCCTGAGATCATGACCTGAGCTGAAGGCAGACACTTAACTGAATGAGCCACTCAGGCGCCCTGAGATTGCATAATTTTCAACAATCCGAATGGTCCAATAGTCTTTTGCCTTATTTTGAGATTGGAATCCTTATTTATTTGTTGGCCAGTTGGATTTTTTTCTCTTTTGAAATGCCTTTTACATAAAAAGAAGCATTTTTTTCTTACTGATTAATGAGAGTTGTTTATATCCACTATATATTGGTTCTTTATTTTGTTTATAAAAAAATGTCTCCCAGCTTGTCACTTTTCGCTTTGTCCAGGGTATCTTTTTCAACACAGATGTTTTAATTTTTTCCTCTCACAAATTTTATTACTTATTTTCTCCTGTGGATTTTGGCTTGTGACATGAACATCACAGGTTCCTTTGTTTTATGGTTGACTTTAAACAGGAAAAAGTTATTTTCGAGTGTGAAATTAGGTAGGAACCTAAGTTTTCATTTTTCTAAATGGATCTCCATCTCACATAAAATAATCAGAATGTGATAAAATCAACAGTGTTAAGAATTTGCAGCCTCTACCAAGTCTGTTCTCTTCTCTATGTGATCTCTGCAATGTTGAGGGATAGATTATGCCATCAGTTTTTCCCTGATATGGTGGTTCCATTGACAAGCAGGTCTCAGTTCATTCCCTGGTGGCATTTGGGCATAAGCTATATGACCACAGGACAGTACACCGAAGACGTTCCACACTCCTGAACTGTTTTTATTCACAGAACTTCTGACACCAAATGTGTGTATTTTCCTCACACCTACTAATTTTGCAACTCTGTGGACACCAGCTGGGTGTCCTACAATTCAACTTAATTCTGACACTCACTACCTGGAGTTAGCATCAGATCCCACAGGCCAAGGGCTTGGTTCCGTGAGACTGCCCCCACTTTAGGTGCCAGCCAAAAGTCCCAGGTTGTCACCTATATTTGGGGTGACAAGCTGTAAATTTGAGGGTTCCCACAACCCCCCTTTCAGGTTTGGTAATATGTAGAACAATTCACAGAACTCAGGAAAGCACTTTCCGTACATATACTGATTTACTATAAAGGCTACTACTCAGGAATAGCCAAGTGGAAGAGATGCACAGGGCCAGGTATGGGAGAAGGGGTGAGGAGGTCCTCCCTCAGAGAACCATCCTGCCAGCACCTCAGTGTGTTCACCAACCTGGAAGCTCTCCAAATCTGTTGTTTAGGGTGTTTATGATGGTTTTCTTATATAGGCACAATTGATTAAATCACTGGCCATTGGTGATTGAATTCAACCTCCAGTCCCTCTTCCTTCCCTGGATGTTGGGAGTCTTTCAGGTCTCCTATCCTGAAGCTATAATGCAGGGGCCCCCAGCCATTAGTCATCATGTTAGGATGCAGAAGACACTCATCACTCCAGAGATTCCAACAGATTTAGAAACTGTGCCAGGAACCAGAGAAAGACCAAATATATATTTATCACAACATTTTCCTGGCTTCTATTGTTTTTATTTCACTAAATTTTGTCTTTCTTTAGATGGTAATGAGTCTTCTCTTTTTGGTTGTTTTCATAATCTGACTTTTGCAACTGGTGTTCTGTAGTTTCAGTCTGATGAGTCTGGATACGGATTTCCTGCTTGGTTTTGCTTGCTTACTAAGTCTGTGTTGTAGGATGTTTAGTCGGTTCTGAACTTTTCTCAGTCCTGAGATCTTCCCATTGCTTCTCTGATTCTCTATAATTGCTTCCAAAAACTGTGTATAGACCTCACTCTCTCCTCATTCTCTATTAACTCTACTTTATATTTTCTATCTCTTTGTGTGTCTGCTTCACTTTTTGGATATTTTTTAAAATGAGTATTCCAGTTCACTAATTATCTCTTAAGTGTATCTATGATGTTAAACTTTTATGAAAGAATAAGAAACATACATTGGTCTCTGCCCCTAGTTTCTTTTTTTTTTTTTTAAAGATTTTATTTATTCGAGAGAGAGAGAATGAGAGATAGAGAGCACGAGAGGGAAGAGGGTCAGAGGGAGAAGCAGGCTCCCCACTGAGCAGGGAGCCCGATGTGGGACTCGATCCTGGGACTCCAGGATCATGACCTGAGCCGAAGGCAGTCGCTTAACCAACTGAGCCACCCAGGCGCCCTCTGCCCCTAGTTTCTGACACAAGCCTCCTAAAATCCTTGTAATTCCCTAAGTGAAAAGAGTACTAGAGGCATCTTTTGTTCTAATATTTGGTCTTGGATGTCATCTGCGACAGAGTTCCTAAATCCTTTGGAATTTCCTGAGGGATAGAAGCATCTCTTGTTCTAAAGGCATGACTCTGGGTGTTTCCTGGGGGGGGGGGCGGTTGGTCACCAGAAAGACCAACCCATGATCAAAAGTGTGGGATTTTCAGCTGTATCCCCATTATCCAGAGAGGGGAGAGGGGCGGGAAATGGAGTTCATGACTAGCCATACCTGTGATGTAGCCTCCATAAAATTCCAAAGGTGTGTGGTTTGGAGCGTTCCCCGTTTGGTGGACATGGGTGCTGCATGACACGCCCCTCCCCTCGTGCCTCGCCCTGTGTGTCCCTTTGATCTGGATGAAATCTGTGTCCTTGATCATATCCTCTTATAATAAAATAGTATGCAGTAAGTAAACTGAGTTCTCTGAGCTGTTCAAGCAAATTAAACCCAGGGAGGGGGTCATTGGAACTTCCAATCTATAGCCGGTTAGTCAGAAGCACAGGTGACAACATGGACTTGGATTGGTATCTGAAGTGGGGGCAGGGGCGCTCTTGTGGGACTGACCCCTTAACCCATGAAGTGTGACACTATTTCCAGGTAGCTTGTGTCAGAATTGAGTTGAATTGTAGGCCACCCAGCTGGTGTCAGAGAATTGCTTAAAAACATCCAAACCACCACATATACATCAGAATTGGTCTCAGCATTGTAGTTACTATTAGCAGAAAAACTTCCTTTATATTCCTTATGAATCAATGAAAGAGAAACACTTGGGGCACCTGGGTGGCTCAGTCATTAAGTGACTGCCTTCCGCTCAGGTCATGATCCCAGGGTCCTGGGATTCAGCCCTGCATCAGGCTCTCTGCTCAGCGGAAAGCCTGTTTCTCCCTCTCCCACTCCCCCCCACTCCCCCTGCTTGTGTTCCCTCTCTCGCTGTGTCTCTCTCTGTCAAAAAATGAATAAAATCTTTAAAAAAGAAAGAAAGAAAGAGAAACACTCACATGAAACAGGACCATGCTGTTACAGGAATCGCTGACACTGGAGGACGTGGCCGTGGACTTCACCTGGGAGGAGTGGCAGCTCCTGGCCCCTGCCCAGAAGGACCTGTACCGGGACGTGACGTTGGAGAACTACAGCAACCTGGTGTCAGTGGGTGAGGACGGCTCCCCTGTGTCACTCAGAGGGTGCCCAGTCAGTGGCCTTTCCTCTCGAAGCTGCTTACACTTCAGAGTCACTGCATTGCTCTGTACGGCAGATTCTCAGTGCCTCCTTGAGCACATGATAAAAGGGTCTGATGTACTACGAGCTGCTCTTACTACCAACACAAATGGGGCCAAACATGGGGGGTTTTTCTACACCAACAACCAGTTCTCCAACTCTCCAGGTACCAGCTAGGTATTCTGCCATTCATTTCAGTTCTGCCACGACCCAGAGTTAGCATCACACTCCACAGGTTTAAGGGTTCAGTTCCACAGGACTCCCCTCACTTCAGATGCCAATTGCCATTACTGGGTACCCACTACCCAGGGTACCCATGCTTCAGTCCAGCTGTAAATTGGGCATTCCCGCAACCCCCTTCAGGTCCAGCAAGTTGCTGGAAACAGCTCACAGAGCTGCGGAAAGCACTTTACTTAAGATTACCATTTTATTATAAAGGATAAAACTCGGGAACAGCCAAAAAAGGAAGAGATGTATAAGGCATGGTATGGAGGGAGGGGTGTGGACTTTCCATGACCTCTCTAGGTATGCCACCCTCCCAGCCCTTCAGGTGTGTTCACCAACCTGGAAACTCTCCCATCCGGGCGGTTTAGGATTTTTTATGGAGGTTTCATTATGTAGGCATGATTGCTTAAATCATGATTAACTCAAGTCTTCAGTGGCAGGAGCAGGGGATTGGAGCTGAAGGTTCCAACCTTCTCATCCCACCAGGGTCTTTCTGGCAAACAGCCCCCATGCTAAAACTCTATAGGGGCCCCTCCCACCAGTCATTAGTTCACAAAAAGACTCATCACTCTAGAGAGTCCAGGGGTGTTAGAAGTTCCTGTGTCAGGAACTGGAACTTAGACCAAATACTCTAACGGAAGATGCTCCTATCATGGCTGTCACTTAGGAAATTACAAGGGCCTTAGGAGCTCTGTGCCAGGAATGGGGTACAAAGACCAAATATGTATATCACGGTATCACGTATGCCCTCTCCTGAGAGAGAAGCCTTGGCTTTGCAGATGTGAAAACTGTCTCAGTCCCTCAAATGTAGCATTCTCCCATCTTGACAGACCCCAGCCTGATTTGGTGAGTCTAAGTGTTCTGTCTTTTCCACGAGTAGGGTATCAAGCCAGCAAACCAGATGCACTCTCCAAGCTGGAACGAGGGGAGGAACCGTGCGCGAAACAGGAGGAAGTCCCCAGTGGAACCCGGCCAGGTGAGTGAGAACCTGCCAGCCGGGTAACTGTGGAAGTCACCCTCGGTCAGCAAGAGAAGGCTAGCAGGGTGTGTGAGGACAGAAGCGGTGCTCTGGGTATCTCTCTCCCATAGCAGAACTTTTCCTTTAGGTCTTTAGAGGGAAGTGGAACTCTTTTTTCTCTTCTGATGTCTGATCCTTGCTTTTTTCATTTTACATCTTAATTTTTGTTGGTTTGCCTAGTTCTCTCCCACTGATTCCATTAGCTTACCCTTTCTTTGTACCCTGTCACAGTGTGTGTCCCTGTTCCTTCTGCCTCCCTGGCTATGAAATCCACACCCCACACCCCCCGGGCCTTACTCCAAAGAGAGACGTGTGAATTCACACTGTTTCTGACTACTGTACCTTCCTGCCCGGCTCCTTGGGAGTTGCCAATTTCCCTCCTGATGGCCAACCCCACTCTGTATGTTGTGCCATCACAATAACCTGATCTCTTACGGGGCATCAATCCGCTTTCTAGCTTTTCCCTCCACTCGAGATTCTTCAGTTCTTTCCCATTTTCTCTGCTGAATTCCTAATACTTGAGGTTTTTCTTCTGGCTCATGAATTAAACTCTTTCTGTTGTCTAGAAGAGACTCCAAATTGGTATCTCCCTACATACTATATAGCATTGTAGATATTTTACCTGCCTAAGATTTCTGAGTCCCTGCATGAGTTCTCCTCTTCCCTCCACAAAAAATCCCCTTCCATCTCATTTGAACGTTAGATTCTCCTTTAGTACTGCACTCCTTACCGTGTCCACACTGCTGTTAGCTATGGCATTCTTGTCTTAAAGGTCTCTGCTGTTTCTGTTGACTGTTTCACTAGAAAAGATGGTTTTACATCCTACATCAGTTCTAGCCAAAATCAGCTTATGCCTGCCTTGATGGCTTCCTTTGTATGGTTGATATTTCTGATTTTCCTTTGGTTCATCCAGGGTCTTCCCATTGTATTCATTTGTCGAAATCATTTATTTTCCCCATTTTTTAAAAGCGGCTTTGAGATAATTCACATAACCTACAATTTGCCAACTTAACACATACAATTTAGTGCTTTGTAGTACATTGACAGGGTTATGTAACCATGCCCATAAGCAATTTTGGAAGATTTTCATCACTTTAAAAAGAAACATTTCCAGGGCGCCTGGCTGGCTCATTCAGTAGAGCATGTGACTCTTGATCTGGGGGTTGTAGAAATTACTTAAAAATAAAATCTTTTAAAAAATAAAATAAAGTAAAAAATAAAAAGAAACGTTTCTTCCCCGGCCCCCAGCTCTGGGCAGCCACTGATCGACTTTCTACCTCTAGAAATTTGACTGTTCTGGATATTTTATATAATCATGAAATATTTGGTCTTTTGTGTCTGGCTTCTTGCATTTAGCCTAAAGTTTCTGAAGTTCTTTCATGCTTTGACATGCATCAGTACTTCATTCCTTTTTATTGCCAAATAATACTCCCACTGTACGGATATACCACATTTTATTTATTCATTCATCTGTTGATGGACATTGGGTTTTTCTACTTTTTGGCTTTTATGAATTATGCTATGAACATTCATTTTTCTTAGGTATATACCAAGGAGTAGAATTCTTGGGTCATATGGGACCCCCAGGAAAGGTCCAGACATGGTGCTTCCAAACTCATGGCCAGCATTACCTCCTCCCAGCCATGGTGTGTGACAGTATGCAAAGAGTATTGCCAACCAGGGGAGCTCACTTGAGCCTTTGGTGTCCAATATTTTTATTGGGGCTCAATCACACATTGCCCACATGGCTGAACTTTAGTTTTTAGCCCCACCAGAAATCAGGCTAATTCCTATAGTCTCCAGTTCCTCTGAGGGTCCAGAGGTTGGAACTGATATGGCATGGCCCAAAGTCTCCTTCATAAATTACGCTGTTAGAATATCCAGTGGCCAAAGCCCCCAGGCAAACAAAGGCACTCCTATCAGGTAGGACATTCTGAGGGCCTAGAGATCACTCTCCTAGAGCCAGTGGCAAGGGCCAGACCTCTTTTTGGGTGAAGTTAAATCTTAACTGAAGGTAACTATGAAAATGAACAATAAAGGGATTTACTTAGAAATAAAGAGGAAATAGAGCTTATGGTTGTACAATCAGAATTGAATGACAGCATGATATATACAAAGGACATCTGCATTTTGAATTAGGAAGATGCCACCATGAATTAGGAATGAAGGCATGGAATAGGAAACTGCAAGGCATGGTGTTGACTATTCAGAATGGCTTGGAGTTGGCTGGATGCAGGCAGTGTTAGAAGGCGTCTACAAGAGAAGCACTGGAGTGGACACATGGATGCATGGGAGTATTCATGATGATGTGCACTTTTCTTGCCAGGATGACTGGATTTGATAGGCGAGTAATTGAGGTAGCATGGTGGAGGGTTGTGCTTGGTTTTGTATTTTTTGTAGCTCTAGGTTGTATGACCTTTCACCTGGACAGCGGTAGTAGAGTAACAATAAGGAACAGCTAGATGTTCTAAGAAAAATGGAAGGCAAAGCTGACACACCTTGGTCGTAGAGGAGGAAGGTGGTCCTTTAGTACAACAAAGACACAAAGGTAGAACTACTGACATAGATGCTGCTGGTAGCAAGGCAGGGAACAGCACAGGGATGCTGAAATGGGAAAAGCTGGGGTGTGATTTCTCTCCTGAACGCAGAATGTGATCAACATGACAGTTTCTATATCCTGTGCAGGAGCATATTAGCTTCTGAAGATGGCTATGTGGTATACTGGCCAGCTGCAAAATTTCCTACCAATCATGGTCAGCCTATTCAGTATGAACGGAATGGATGATAAAATGACACAGCTGGACTAAGGTTGGAGTGTTGTCCACTAAATCTGATTGAGGTTTGTGGAAAGTTAGGTTAATGGTCTACAGAAAGGCAAATTTAGGAACAGGATTACTATGCAAGAGTCTGTCTCAGCTCACTTTAAATTCTGAAGACCTTACTTTCTTACTTGGTAACAAATGCATTTATTCTAGACACCTCAGTTTGCATAGTTCCCCAATGTCTCTAGTCAGATTTTGGGTTCTCTAAGTGAACTTAAAGAATCCCCAGCCTAAATGTTGAAATGTCTAAAACCTTCTTCTGTACCTTCACCATCTTTCATTCTCTGTGTCCTCCCAACATTATGCCCAGTCTTCTTTTCTTGGTAACAGGTATATATTATTTCAACATTGCTATCTCCAACCAGACCTGGATGTCTGTACTACATTATCTAATAATCCTCTCAAAGTTTATGTTCTGCAACACAGACTTTTTCCTACACATTCTGGATTTCAGTAATATTCCTCATCTCCATTTGACATGCCTCTACCTACCCAGTGGCTCAAGCCATATAGTTAGCAGGGAAATCCTTGATTCCTCACTGTCATTAACCACTCTCCATTGAACTCATCATTTAACTGTCTTTTCTTTATGCAGATATATCCTGATTCCCTCCACTTTCCAGTCTCCATTGCTCCTTCAATCACATTTCACAATATCCAACTCCCTTCTTTTTTCTTTTCTTCGTCATTTGGTTTCCCCTAACCAGATTTACGATCAGTGAAAGTGAGGCCTATTTTATATATTCCAAACACCAGCACAGTGCCTTGTACACAGGAGCCATTCAATAAACAGTTTGGAGTGAACAAATGCAACCCTCATAGTTCTGGATAGTAGTCTCTTCTACCTTTATGTAATCTGGTATCTTTCCAAGTTCTGTGGAATGATGTTCTTCCAACCCTGTCGTTTGCTGCCAACAATGACTTGCTTGTGTTTTACTATTTCTGCATGTTTTGAGTTCCTAGTTAGAGAGCAGCAAATCTACGTACATTGTCAACTGTGTAACCTTATTTATACTTACTGCTTTTTCATTTTGGTTTGTTTATATTACTGTGTTTTTACCAATGTATAAGAGATAAGGAACATTTATATATGGCATTTCTTTTATACTGTTATCATAGGGTTGTCACTAAAATGCCATTTTTTTAAGGAACACTAAAGAATTTTTTAAAGTTTTATTCAAAACAAGATTATGAAAGGATTCATTGTTCTCTTCTTTTCTAGAACCTAGCAAAGTTGATAATCACCTGCAAGGTCCCTGGGAAAATCCAAGAATGCTGAAAGGTATGGAACAAAACCACAAACACAATGCATTTGGAAATATTCCTCAAAGCAAAAGTCATTTTCCTTCCAGGCAAAATCATATGCTTGAGTTCTATATAAAAACTTTGAAATCAAATTTAAGTTTAGTCAACCAGAGCAAAAGCTATGAAATTAAAAACTCTACTAAATTCAATGGAGATGAGAAATTATTTCTGCATGATAAGCAGGAAGATTTTAATTCTGCTGTTAAACTCCCTATAAGTGCAAAACCTATTAGCAATAAGTCACAAGTCGTTAAGCATCAGAGAACTCGTGAAATAGAGAAACCCCATGTATGCAGTGAATGTGGAAAAGCCTTCATTAAGAAGTCCCAGCTCACAGATCATCACAGAGTTCATACAGGAGAGAAACCTTATGGATGCAATATTTGTGCAAAAGTATTCTCCAGAAAGTCCAGGCTCAACGAACATGAGAGAATTCATAAAAGAGAGAAATCCTTTCTATGCAATGATTGTGGAAAAGTCTTCACCATGAAGAGCCGTCTAATTGAACACCAGCGAACACACACTGGAGAGAAACCCTATGTATGCAGCGACTGTGGAAAAGGTTTCCCAGGGAAGCGTAATCTCATTGTACATCAGCGAAATCATACTGGAGAGAAATGCTATGTATGCAGTGAATGTGGAAAGGGCTTCACTGGGAAGAGCATGCTCATCATACACCAGCGAACTCATACAGGAGAGAAACCCTACATCTGCAGTCAATGTGGGAAAGGCTTCACCACGAAGCACTATGTCATCATACATCAACGAAATCACACAGGAGAAAAGCCCTATATATGCAGTGAATGTGGGAAAGGTTTCACGATGAAGAGTCGACTGATTGAACATCAGCGAACTCACACAGGTGAGAAACCCTATGTATGCGATGAATGTGGAAAAGGCTTTCCCAGGAAGAGTAATCTCATTGTACATCAGAGAAATCATACAGTAGAGAAATCCTATGTATGCAGTGAATGTGGAAAAGGTTTCACTGTGAAGAGCATGCTCATCATACACCAACGAACTCATACTGGAGAGAAACCCTACATCTGCAGTGAATGTGGGAAAGGCTTCCCCTTGAAGAGTCGACTGGTCGTACATCAACGAACACACACTGGAGAGAAACCTTACAGATGCAGTGAATGTGGGAAAGGTTTCATTGTGAATAGTGGACTGATGTTACATCAGCGAACTCACACTGGAGAGAAACCCTATATATGCAATAAATGTGGAAAAGGTTTTGCCTTTAAGAGCAATCTTGTGGTACATCAGCGAACTCATACTGGAGAGAAACCCTTTACATGCAGTGAATGTGGAAAAGGCTTCACCATGAAACGCTATCTCATTGTACATCAACAAATCCATACAGGAGAGAAATCGTACATATGCAGCGAATGTGGTAAAGGCTTTGCTATGGAAACTGAGCTCATTTTACATCAGCAAATTCATACTGGAGAGAAACCTTACGCATGCAATGAATGTGGTAAAGGCTTCACTGTGAAAAGCCGACTAATCGTTCATCAGCGAACTCATACAGGAGAGAAACCTTTTATATGCAGTGAATGTGGAAAAGGCTTCTCCTCAAAGAGAAATCTTATTGTACATCAGAGAACTCATAATGGAAACAAACCTCAATGACACAATGAATAGGGTCACACCCTCCAGAGGAAAATATGCTTTGTGCAACATCAGAGATTTCACACAGAATTGACTTCCTTTATTTGTACTGACTGTGGAAAATCCCATTTATTACCTACCAGGGAATTTATGCAGCAAACTTATGTATACAGTTAATGGAGAAAGCCTTCAATACCAAGTCAGCACCCACTGTATATCAAAGAATTCATAGAATAGAAAGACTCTATGGATTTATTAACTGGGGGCCACCTTTCTCTCATTTGTCAAGCCTTGTTAATACACACAAGAAATGTGTAAGTCAAGGTACATAAGCCTTTGCAGAGAATCTGAACCCATTACATACAAATGAACTCATGCAGGGGACAAACATGATAGTTCAATGAACTCATTAAACATCAGTGTGCTCCCAGCATCCCTGAGTATAGTCAGTATAGATTAATTAGCCTGTTACTAGATTTTCACCCTTGGGGAATACTGAATTTGCATAGGAGTGAAGTTTAATGAATGCAGAGAATGTGCTAGTGCCTTCAGTGATCAATTACCTCACATTGTATGTCAAAACAGGAAAAAAAACCTGATATATTCAATGCAGAAAAGTCCTGAGGAAACATTTCTAGGTAATTACATATCTGAAAAGTATATATTAAGATGAATCTTACGAATGGAGAGCGTAGGAAAGCCTCCTATGGGAATAAAGACCCTGTCTCATCAGTGATCATAATAGATCCTACCAGCGAGCTTACACACAGTAGCAACATGATGACTGTGCAAAAGCCTTTGCCTAGAAGTCAAACCTTAATAGCTGTGTGATATTCATGTTAAAGGAAAATGGCAGTGAATATGAGTTTTAGTGATACATTCTGCCTCATCATTTCTCATGAATTCATACAGACATAAAACTCATGAACACACTAAATGTGGAGTAACTAGCAAATTATCAGAAATTTTGAAGGCGGGCGCCTGGGTGGCTCAGTTGGTTAAGCGACTGCCTTCGGCTCAGGTCATGATCCTGGATTCCCGGGATCGAGTCCTGCATCGGGCTCCCTGCTCGGCAGGGAGTCTGCTTCTCCCTCTGATTCTTGCCCCCTCATGCTCTCTCTCTCAAATAAATAAACTCTTTATTGTTTTTAAAGATTTTTTATTTATTTATTTGACAGAGAGAGTGAGAGAGCACAAGCAGGGGGAGCAGTAGAAGGAGAGGGAGAAGCAGGCTTCCCACCGAGCAAGGAGCCTGATGCGGGGCTCAATCCCAGGACCCTGGCATCATGACCTGAGCCGAAGGCAGACGCTTAACCATCTGAGCCACCCAGGCGCCCCATAAATAAAATCTTTAAAAAAATTTTTTTTGAAGGAAAGAAGCCTCATGAAAACGATGCATACTTGAGTTTTCCATCACAAGTCTATACTTCTACATCTGATGGCCATTTTGGGGCAGGATACCTTGAACCATATTCTCAGTGACGCCATCGTTTTAAAGTAGGCTATTCTCAACACTGATTAAATTTTAATGTACACAGTGCCAGGATGTTCTGTGCCCAACTTGTATCATATGATTACCTCTTGCATTTCTTGTGTTCTAAAGTCATCTCTTTCAGGCAAAAGAAAAAAAGAATATATTTATAAATGTAATTTAACATATTAGGGTGTATTCAAGTTTGTAAGTAGTTTACAAAAATAACCTTATATATGATTTTTTCTAAGTTTTTTGAAATAATTTTAGACTCACAAAAAATTATAGAGTATACAGTGTTCCTGAGTAATGTACTCAGCTTTTTCAGTGACATTATCTTACATAACTGTAATACATAATCAAAACCAATAAAATGACGTTGGTACAATGCTGTTAAGTAAACTATAGACCTTATTTGGTTTTCACTAGTGTTTGCATGCATTAATTTACGTGAGGTTTTGTTTTGTTTAGTGTAGAGTTCTAAGAAACTTTATCACATATATAGATTCCTGTAAATCCCACCACAATCAGGATACAGAATTGTTGTGCCAACACAAAGAAACATCCATGTGCTGCCCCTTTATAGTCACACTCTTCCCACAACCCTGACCCATGGCGACCACTGACCAGTACTCCATCACTCTGATTTTGTCACTTCAAGGATGCTGTTAAAATGGAATGATACAGTGTGACCTTTGGGATAGGCTTTATTTCATGCAGCAAATTGCCCTTAAGATTCATCCAATTTGTTGGGCATATAAATAGTTTTACTTTTTGTTACTGAGTGGTATTCTTTTGTTTTGAATGTACCATGGCTTATCTGTTCAATGTTGGTGGACTCTGGGTTGTTGCTAGTGTTTCACTGTTATGAATAAAGATGCTATGAATCCAGTTTTGTGTGAACGTAAGTTTTCATTTCTCAGGGATAAATACCCATGTTGTTTGTGTTTTTAACTTCATAAGAAACTGCCAAACTTTTCCATAGTAGCCATACTAATTTACATTCCCACCTTCAGTGTATCCATGCTCCAGTTGTATCTTGTCTAGCACTTGGCACAGTCATATATGATCCTAGACTTCCTATCAGGTATGTGCAGCATATAATGGTGGTCTTTTTTTTTTTTTAAAAGATTTTATTTATTTATTAGAGAGAATGAGAGATAGCACGAGAGGGAAGAGGGTCAGAGGGAGAAGCAGACTCCCTGCTCAGCAGGGAGCCCGATGTGGGACTCGATCCCAGGACTCCAGGATCATGACCTGAGCCAAAGGCAGTCGCTTAACCACTGAGCCACCCAGGCGCCCTATAATGGTGGTCTTAACTGATCTTTCCCAAACCTCTACATACACTGAGAACTGTATCAGGTAAAGTTGTCATTTTTGCTTTCAGTCATCAAACATAATTTTAAAAACTCAAAGGGGAATAGCCTATAATGCCTGATGATATATTTACCTTTTTCATTCCATTTTCTTCATTCCTGATGTTTCATGTTTCCTTCTGTCATTTCCTTTTTGTTAGAACTTCCTTTATCAATTTTTTGAGCAGGTCTGCTGCAAAAAATCTTAGTTTTCAGACACCTGGGCGGCTCAGTTGGTTAAGTGTCTGCCTTCGGCTCAGGTCATGATCCCCGGGTCCTAGGATCAAGTCCCACATCGGGCTCCTTGCTCAGTGAGGAGCCTGCTTCTCCCTCTCCTTCTGCCTGCCACTCTGCCTACTTGTGCTCTCTCTGTCAAATAAATAAGTCTTTAAAAAAAAAAATCTTAGTTTTCCTTTTGTTCTCCCTTTTGTTTTTCTTGTTCTTCTTTATCCAGTTATTTCCCTTGATATAAGAATATGTGGGATGCCTGGGTGGCTCAGTCAGTTAAGCCTCTGACTCTTGGTTTTGGCTCAGGTCATGATCTCACAGTTGTGGGATCAAGCCCCACATCAGGCTCTGCGCTCAGTGCAGTCTGCTCCAGATTCTCTCCCTCCCCCTCTGCCCCTCCCCCCACTCACATGTGTGCATGCATACGTGCTCTCTCTCAAATAAAATCTTAAAAAAAAAGGATATGCTATCCAGTTTATAAATCCTTGTGCCCCCCCCCC